TCAGAAAACTCACTTGGATAAGATTTTCATGCAAAAATATATTAAGTCCTATAGTTTAGGCTTATGAGGTCAACACATTCCTTAGAAGAGCTGCATATTCCTTAGTATGCTCCTTAGCCAAGTGTAATACTATGGTAGGCAATTTTCTGTCACCTCAAAGATGGGAAAAGTATTAGGTACTTGTTGCCAGCTTGATGTTGGAGGTCACTGTGACCTAACTTTTGGACTGTCATTCTGAATTTCAAAGTGGCTTAGCTGTTGTATTTCAACAACATCAAAGTCAAATTGTTTAACTCCATTTCCAAATTCAGAGTTGATTCCGTCAGAGGTTGTGTCAACTTCCTGGACACAAAGATCATATACTTTACATGTTGAAATCTATAAGTGTGTTACTGTGTTATATTTTCTGCTGTCTACAAGCTGGGTCTCTAGTCACTGTGTTCAGATTCCAGTGATTTTTTTAAGGTGGTTTTACTCTTTCATCTGGACATAATTATATTTAGTTCCTTCCTCTGAGGGGCAGCTACTGTAAAAATGGATCCTCAGAGATTTTATGGACCTCATTGTGATTAAGATGAACACTTAACTATGTTTTAGGAGCAAATGTACTTTCTTGGAAAATTATGTTACATAGGTCCCATCTACCCTGAATGGTGCATCAAGCATGAGATTATTACTTGACATTCAAAGTTCGTTGTTAACTCATTTCCTTGCTTTTTAGGAAGTTTGTTCTGATTTAATATTAATGTTTAATTTTTCTTACTGTTTAAACAGCAGCTAGCCTAAGTACAGACAGTCAAAAAGCCCAAGGCTGAATCGATTCAATCTTTGTAGGTTTCTCTAAACTGCATAGATTGAACCAATAAGCAAGTGAACCGATGTTCACTTTTCAAACAGGAAAGGCAGCCAGACCCCTGCAGCGGTCCATACGAGTAGTTGCTGATGGTTTTGCAGAGGAGAACCATGCCTCTTGTCACTGATTGACAGATTTTTGTCTCCTTCAAAGGCTGCATAGAATAGGGACCCAGTATCCTAGATCTGTGCACCTCATTACTCCAAGGAAGGAAAGTTTCAGTTTGTTAGTATCTCCTTTTTTGTAGGTGAGGGGCCCGGGGTGGGGGTGGGGGGGAGAATGAGATATTAAGAATGCAAATTTTGCACATATGGCACTTTTTTGAAAATTCTTTCCCTTGTGCTTTTCTGATATCATTTTGAGGATCTGCAATTCACTCAGTCTCCTCCCTTCAGGGTTTGGAACAAACTCCACTCAAGTTGGCAAACTGGCTGTTTTTGTTTACTTTTTTAGGACCATTTTTTCCCAACCATTTGAGTTTTAATGATCAGCTTATTTTATCTGGGAAATTTCACTTCCTGCTTAATCAGAAGCTGATTGGAAAATTTGAGTTTAAGAAGACAGCTTTGTGTGTAAGTGCCAGTAGGGACTTTGCAATCAGGACTTATGGTAGAGGTGATATCTTTTATTAGACCAAATAGTAGGGAGTTTGGCTTGTTCTCATGTACCTTTCTGCTGTCCTTGGGAAGTATTTGTCTGCATCTTAAAAGGGTGTGGAGTAGGGCTGTGCGAAGCTTTGGTAGCTGATTCTATTCGGAGGAGGTTCGGCAGCTGAATCTCCGGATCTTAATCAAATCGAAAGACCCTTTAATCTCTCCAACTCGAATTGGAAGCCTCCGAATCTATTCAGAGGAACTTGGAGATTTGACCATAGACTGTACAGGCAGGTACTAGGCAGTGCCGCGGGGAGCAGCCAGCTTGAGCCAGCTGCCCTGGGCCCTGGCTTGAGCCAGCTGCCCCAGGAGAAGCCACGGTTCCCCTGCTGCCCCCCTGCTGGGGAGAGGCAGGCAGTGCTAGCAGCCCTGAGAGAAGCTGCGGGAATCAAACTAGAAGCTGGGGAATCGAACCGGGAGCTGGGGGGAAGCCCCTGTCTATTTCCCCAGCCCCCGTGGCTTCTCCTGGGCCTGATGGGTCAAGCCGCGGCTCCCTTGGCTGCTCCTCCAGCTGTTCCCCTGCTGGGGCGAGGCAGGTATTGCTGGAAGCCCTGGGAGAGGCCAGAGGAGCTGGGGGGAAATGATCCGGGAGCTGGGGGGAATAATCGGGAGCTGGGGCAACGAATAGGGGCTGCCCCCCAGCTCCCGGTTCAATACCTCCAGCCCCTGTGGCTTTTCCTGGGGCTGCCATCTGGCTGCTCCCTCAGTTGCTCCCGCCAGCATTGCCTGCCTGTATAGTCTATGACTGAGTAAGATTCGGCACCAAATATATTCGGATTTGGACAAATCGAATCGGGACAGTGATCCGAATCACTCTTCCTCTGAATCCGAAGTGAATGCTTTCAGCTTCACACAGGCTTGGCGTGGAGTATGAGAAGTGAGATCCTTGCAACATGTCTGAAGTTCCGCTTCCTGAAGATAAGAAATTACTGGGTTTTTTTACATGATAATACTTTGCCTCTTGAGCGTCGTTAGCTCTTTCAAAGATGGTAGTAAAGTTTAAAAGGTTTGAAACTATTTTTCCCATTTTACATATGAGGAATCTGTGCGCCAGAGGGAGGCTGTGCCTACACAGAAAACTAACCATGCTAAGCAGTGGATCCCTCAGACGTGATGTCTTGCTTCTAAATGGGAAGCTGTGTTGCTATGTCCATAGTAAGTGGCACTAAATACTTAGTTCAATATTCTTAGCATAGACTGCCCAGCACTAATCTGCTAATTAAAAAATATCTATGGCAAGAATTAGAATTTTCAGATGGTTGCATTAAGTAAAAAGTATATTGCTTTTTTCTAAATCTTTTTCAAATTGACAGTATAGCCATTAGCAAACAGATTTGAAATCGTGCAGAAATAACAGATTCCACTTCCTTTTCCCACTAGAAAGATTCTTGTTCTGTTATTTCAGCAGGTGTATATAGTAAGATGTATTCTTACCAGTTCAAATTTTTAAAATGACTTCTATGAAACTTCATACAGTAATTGAGTTCCAGAAAAGTCCTGGTAAGGATCTTTTAGCTGTTGCAGCATTTGGCATTGCTGTCCTGTGAAATTATTCTTTTGCAGCTGTGGGAATGTACAGTGTGCATAATTACCATTACATCACTTGTTCCTGATTCACTGGCTCTCTTTTCACTTAAAAACTTAAGCTGGTAGTACTTACTAATAACACTATGCTTTTGTGGAAAAATGAGGACAAAGCTATAGAATGAGACCAGTCATTTGCCTTTTTAGGACAGGAGTGAAACTGAGCTACTCCAGGTGTTGTGTATAATTTTACTTGATTTTTTTCTTTTTTGTATTTTGTGTTGTCTTTTCTCAGGCACAGTTTAATTAATTTTTCTAGCCTAACAGTTTGTCGTGTTGTTTGCCCTGTTTGAGGGGGACAAACTCAAATGAAACCAATTAGTGCAGAATAAGTTGTTATTGCTGTTTAAAAAAATGTGTATACACTTGTATTACTTTGGTATACAGTCTTGACCCATTCTTTCAAGAATGTTTGCCCTTCTGATTTGACTGTGAGTGATCTGCAGATTCACATGGTCAGAAAAACTCAGGCTAAAATATTGAGCTGCTGCCTTAGGCTGTGTTTACTGGATATGTACTCTGTTCTCCCCTTTTCTCACAATGAGGCATTTAATTTTTTTTCCTAAAAGCCTACTTTTCTACTGTTAGCAATTTTTAGTTTTGTAATAAGAAGAAATTTTTGGGAAGCTGTTAGTAATGTGCAATGAATTTATGATTCTTCAGGTGAAATTGTACTCTTCAGATGAAACCTGGCCTTGCTGAAGTCAATGGGAGCTTTACTACTCGCTTTATAATAGAGGCAAGATTTCTCTTCTAGTTTCTAATCCCAGTTTATATTGGTTTTTTGGGTTATTTTAAACAATTCAATGAAATCTGAAGATCGGTGTTTCTGTCCTTCCGGTACATGGTTTAATTTACATTTCTTGACCCATCGTCTTGTTCACATCCCTGAATCTTCTTGAAGCAGCATAGAAACTAACTAACTTTTTGGGTAGTTCTATATCAACTGTTTTTACTTGCATACAAAATGCATATTCCCCTACTCCCAAAAAATTAGCTATTGGAAATCATGGTACATCCCTTTAACCAAGGAATTGGAGTGAGCTCAGTCATGTGGGAGCTGAGCTGTCTGATCCCTCTTCTTGATGGTCCCTACTGAGTCAACTGAAGGCTCAATCAGCTTGAGAACAGGCTCCAGGCAATATACTTCTAGAGGATCCAGCCCTCAGCTGGCTCAGTCAGCACTGCTGGCTAAGCTGAACTGTCTGCTGGCTCCTCTGGGTGGGCTGTTGGCAGACTCAGCAGACACTGCTGCCTGAGCGTTTGGCTCCATAAGAATCAGGCTCTCAACTGATGTTGCAGGCACAGCTGGCTGCCCATCCTGATTAAAGTGTACCCAGGCAGTTTGACTCAGTCAGCTGCACTTGCTGAATTAGCTGAGGGCCAGTCTTGCTGGAGCTGAACTGCTTGGGCCCACTTATCAAGTTGGATGGGCAGTCCTGCAGCTAGGGACATTGAACAAGGCAGCCAAGGGTTTTTGTGCCTGAACCCCACTTCCCCCTTTACTACAACCCCTTATTGCCCTACAAAAATAGTGATTGGTGTTTTCAAGGAAAGAACTTTTGTTTTTCATTCCTCCTCCCCAAAAAAGCAAGGTGAATTTCTTTATTGGGGGCCAGTGATATGTGAGAAAATATGATCATTTATATCTTTAACTTATCATTCGGTTTAGAGTACTTTGTGCTTTAGAATAAAAATGCTTAAATGAAATGGGTGCAAAACTGATACCATAACAGGGGTTATTACTGTTTATGAAAGGCTTGGGGTCTATGTTTGCAGTTCAGAATAATGCAAGGGACAATATGCATATAACAGAAATGTTTATGAGTGCAATCTTATAATGCATCATTAGACACCAACTTTTCTATTGCTTTGGCTTTTAATGTGATAAATATATAATTAATTTTCAGGAGGATACTTGGAAAATTCTATTTTTGGACTCCAGGCTTTGGTGCTGCTTTACCAGCTTCCTATGTAGCTATTCTCATTGAAAGGAAAAGCAGGTAAGTTTTTGTTTGTTTGTTTGTTTGTTTGTTATGCATTTGCAGCAATGTGTACATTTCTGTTACTGTGCTATAATTATACAGAAGAGTAAGGAGCAACAGTGGCAAAAGCACCCTGCACATATGCAAAATATAGGGCTTTGGGGTTTTTTGTTTTGTTTTTTTTCATAACCTGGTAGTGAAAATGAGGCTGAAACTGGATATAGCATGTGACACTATTAAAGCTTACTATTTGTAATTTTATTTTTTTAATGAAGTTGCTGTTTAGTTACAAAAAGTAGGAATGTGGTAATGAAAGTGTGGTGGTCACATAAAGTTGAATGGCATTGTCAATACAGAGGAACATTTAGATTTCATACCTGAAGATTAGACCCTGGGGACTGAAATAATAGTCGTGGATAATCTGGGCGTGTGCTCCTGGATCTGCGCAGGGCGGGGCAGGCTCTTTCCAGTGGGATGGGGCTGTGTCCGGGGCGGGTGGCAGTGGGAGGGAGGCACGGGGTGGGGGAACTGCAGCCACCCCAAAATTCACTGTAGCCCCCCCCATCCTCCCTTCCCAGTGCCTGCCCCAGGTGCAGCCCCACCCCACCAGAAAGAGCTTGGCGCAGCCCTGGCCCCACCCCGCCTCAACCTGCACAGATCTGGGGACACATGCCCTCCCAGATGAATGGTGGGAGCAGTGGTGGGAGTCACCAGATGAGTGGGTGGACACCGTATGTGCGGCTCCCAGATGAGTGGCATGCAGCAGTGGGAACTGCCCCTCCTCCCCGCCCCCCCAGACGAGCTGCAGCTTCATCCTGCGCCTGTTCCACCCTGGCTGGGCAGCCCGTGCCCAGCCCCAGCTCCACTCCTCCCTCACTGCAGGCGCCTTGATCTGCCCCCCTCCACACCCCTTCCCTTCCCTTCTCCCTACCCCCTCCCCTTTCACCACAATAGACTTACCAGCTTCACACAGTTCTCCAAGCTGCCAGGCTTTGCTCCTTGCCGTGTTGGTGCTGCGCTGCAGCTGTGCGACTGCACGGGCCATTTATCAGTCAAGTTATAGGTTATAGCAGGTCGATTTTTTGATACAGACAATTTTCTTTATATTGGTGCTGATCCAATATCGGACCAATGTATCAGTGCACCTCTATCATTCGTTCATTCTAGTACTTCTCAGAAGGTGGATTCATTTTGGCAAAACTTTGCGTAAGCTCGCTGTGTAGATTCTAGCACTCCTGTTGACTTCAATGTTTCATTTCAAAGTAGAACCAGGGAGGCTTTCTTTAGGCCTCACAGGGACAACACCAGTTTAATTTTTAGTAGATGCCTGGTGCAGTGTGTGTATGTGTGTTTTGTGGGTTTTTTGTGGATTTTTTCAAGTATCAAGTCATGCTCTGCTTAGAATAGCATTTGAAAACATTAAGTGTATAGAAATAAGGCTGGTGGTATAGATTTAAAGTCCTTGCAGAGGAAACTCTTCCAATCTCATATGCGAAACCAACGCACAACTTTGTGATGTCAAATTAGCATTTCACACTTTTTAGTGCTACAGTTCATTAGGTGTTTGCTTAAAGCCTTTGACAGCTACTACTTGAGAAAGAAAAGAAAGGTAAAAACATAAGTATTGCTTTAAGTATGGATACATTTTGAAAAGATGTACTGTATTTACTTGAATAAGATGGCCTAATTATAAAATGAACACTCAGTAATTTTATTCTATTATAAATTTGATATAATTTTCCAGGTAAAGAATCTAATTTTTGGAGGTTTGTCTTGAATATGTCCCACTCCCACTGCTACAACAGGGAAAATAAATCTGGGGGTTGGGGTTAGAAAACCCTCTGCTTCCCTTCAGCTTCTTTCCCCGGCAGCCCTTTCTCCTTCCCTGTACTGTCAAACCCTCCTCTTCCTAAACGCATGGAAGGGAGGAGCGAATATGAAAACAATGACCGTGAAATTGTGCACAGCTCTAGTAATTTGCATATAGTACCCATAGGCTTAGTTCATCCAGAATCGATTCATGTTACCTTTTCTTTTGAAACTGCTGCAAGTTTTAGCACAAGTACTCAATAAACATACTTTTAAACAGCACTTTGGCTGCTACTTATGCATACTTTGTATTATATATATGATATTAGTTGAAAGTCAAAAGGCTCATGATTTACCATAGGTCACCGAGTTGAGCCTCACCAGAGTCAACATGACTTCAAGTTGTGGGGACCCCACAGCTCAGTACTATCCAGTATGTGTGTGTCTTCCAAATACCTTGTCCTCCACAAAGGACTGGAACTGGATGTTCTTGTCACGTATCCTGGGATATTCCAAAAATTTATATGCAGATGAGGCACAGGGCAACCTGGTCTGCCATCACATCATGAAAGGCAGGGCCACACTAATCATATGTGACAGGCTGAGAGAGAGGGTGACAGAAGGTTTCTGGGTGAAATGTTTGGAGCCCCATTTAGTGATGTTTGCCAGGCATTTAAGGCTGGTAAAGAAGCAGGACTCATCCTAAATGGGAAAGGAAGGCTCAGCTCAGTTGTGGAAGTGAAGATGAAATTGAAATATATGTGGTGTGGTGGTTCACCATGACTGGAAGAGTACTCACTGTGGGGGACTGCGCTTAATGGTCAATACCCTGCATCTTACTCAGATGGGCTGCACTAATGTTTGCTCATTATGTAGTTTATAGTTGTGCTCACTGTTGATTGTTTAGTCAATTTTGTACTTAGTTTCCATTGCTAAGCACATGCTGCTTTTGGCAGCAGTTTAATGATAGCTAATACATTCGCATACAAGAAAATCTCATCAAATGTAAGAGGAGGGTTTCCCCCTCCCCCCCCCATTCTGATTGGAGGAAAAAACCTCATCTTGTATTTGAGTAAATATGCTATTTCAAATATGTACAGCATATACACACACGCATATATATGTTTATATATTTACTATGTAATAATTAGAGGCGCATTGATACATCAGTCCATATCATATCGGCACCGATAAAAGGAAAATTGACATTATCATTATTCGACTTTTTTGGCTGATGTGGCTAATAATGTTGTCAATAAATGCTGCGTGCGGGTGTAACACACACCTAGCCAGCCCCGTAGCTTGGAGAGCAACATCTGGCTGGTAAGTCTGCCGTGGGGAAGGGGAGATGGAGGTGCAGATCAAGGCCCCCGCAGTGAGGGATGGAGTGGAGCAGGGGCAAGCACTGGCGCTGCCTGCAAGGGTGGACTGTTGCTGGGGGTGGGGGCAATGCTGGGCTCTTCCTGCTGGGGGGGTTGGGTAGAAGCTGTGCTTGAGGCAGGCGGGGGTGGTGGTGGGAGAGGGTGGATTTGGGGTGGGCTGTGGCCACCCCAGAATTAGCAGTAGCAACCACCTCCCAGCAGTGTTGCCGCTGCCTTCCTTGAGCTGAGCCCTGGCCCAGCTACCCCACCTCAAGCACACAGCAGCAGCCTGCCCTCACCCCATGCACAGATCTTGGGGACACATGCCTCCCATATCTCACCTGGGGCTGTGCATAGCAGTGGGAGTCCCTCCATCCCCATCTCCGGCTATGTGGCCTGCCTCACCCTGGCCCGGCTGGATAGCCCCTGCCCTAGCCCCAGTTCCACTCCCTCACCATGGGGGGCCTCAACCTGCACTCTCTCCCCCCCCCCCCAACAGACTTACTAGCCAGTTGCTGCTCCAAGCTGCCAGGCTGCATATCAGCAATTGGATTGGTATTGGTTGATATGGCTCACTAATAATCAGCCATCCATATTGGCCCAAAAATTCTTTATCTGTGTACCCCTAGTAATAATGAACTATTTGATTCCTAGAAGATTGTACTCCAGGAGATCAGAATCTGGAATCTTTGAATAATGTCAGTTGGCTAAAAAGGTGGTTTCCCACAATGGATTTCCATTGAATGAAATAAATATATATTTATATTTAGCATTTATAATGCAGCCTGCCCATGTAGAATTGTGCACCAGAGGAGTACATACACTATACTGAGGTATGCCCTGTAATTTGCAACTTGGAGCAGGAAGATAAATCAAAAAACCTGTAAGAAGAATGTTATCGCTGCCATGTTGATTATATATAGGAAGTAAATGTCACATCTTGAAGTAAAAGATTAAAGCTGTTGTTGGGGAAACAATGTTTAAAATAAACTGTTCAGGAGGAAGATGGAGATGTGTCTCTAACTGTCTCTGTTTTCTATACATTTAATGTAATAATGCTTACTTCTGTGATTGTAGTAGTAGTAGAACTAGTACTAATAAAAGTAGTAATGTTATTTATATTTAGCATGCCCTGTTCACCAGGGTGCCTCTTGGGGTAACAGGTAACAACGGTCACAAACTGACAGAGAGCAGATTTAGGCCAGATATCAGGAAAAACTTCTTCACGGTAAGGGTGGCCAAAATTTGGAATGGGTTTCCAAGGGAGGTGGTGCTCTCCCCTACCTTGGGGGTCTTTAAGAGAAGGCTGGATAGACATCTGGCTGGGGTCATCTGACTGTTGGACTCGATCTGTTGAGGTCCCTTCTGACCCAAACATCTATGAATTAATAAATATAAAATGGACAAATAGCATAAACATCATTTTATTGCAACACCAAATATTTCTCTGTGTTAAAAAACAGCTGTTATCATATGATGCATGATATGTTACTGCCAACCAATACACTGAAATATGCTTTTCTCATTTCAGATGTATTGATGTGCACAGTTTTCTCTTTACACTTTTTTTAAATGGAATTTTTTTGACTCCTGGAAAACTGCCTTTTAAACTAATACTTGCTGGCAGCTATGTCTATCTCATTATTAGTTTATAAGTCAATAGAAGAAAATGGGGAAATAAACTGTGTGTTTTGGTTTTTAGCTCATAAACAAGTTTCTAGCCCTTTAAATATCAGCTAGCAGCTGGCAGCGACACCAAATTTAATCACTTAATCTCATCCCAAGTGGCTACCCTATTTTAGGTTCCTCAGAGGCATTTGCTTGCACAGCATCCTTGTCAGGCTCTGA